GATTTAAATCTTCTAACAGCGGTATGAAATTCTTGTATTTTTAAGCATATATAAAGTCGTTGTCAGTTACCGGGCCATTTTTTATTTTTTCTTATGTCTCCACCATGTGACGTGATTTTATTGGACTCTGGATATTTCTCTACGTTAAGAGTACCCATAAAATAATTTTCCATGGCAACACTAACTTAAATGTCTAAATCGGTCTACTTGATGAAAGAATATTATAAAATAAATAACATATATATCTCATAATTCATAATTGTGCTCACTCGATATTAATGACCTGGTTGTGACAATGATTACCTAGCGATTTTTAGTTTCAAATGACTAAATATATATTTAAGAATTAATTTGTTTAAACTTTTTTTTTTTACTTCTCTCTCCCACTCTCTCCTATTATAATATATATATGTATATATAGATATTTGTTTAATTTTTATTTTTTTCCTGGAGCTGTTACGGCGCTCTGGTTTATGAAAGATTCATACCAACGGCGCATGGATAAATGTATGTTCCTTCTTATCTTCACCGTTCAACAGAACTTTCAATCAATTTTTTTTTTAAATTAAGCCCACCAAAAGATCGGACGGTGCATATATTTCTGCATATGCCGTCCAAATTTTCTACCACAATGCTTTTCACGGACGCATGAATAAACTGGAGCTCACAATTATGTCCTCTGAATTTTTTGATGAGCAATGTATACATGACAAATACTCTCTGTTCATAAAATAATTACAATACATAGCTAATACATATATTGTACATAGTTTCATTCAATTAAAATTATGTATGCTGTTGGGACCTAAAAGTTTGCATAAGCTCAATGCTTGTCTATGTTAGAAATAACGCTTGAGCAGCATAGCTTGTATGCCTTTCACTCCATTTGAATTCATTTGTTTGTTTCAGCACTTTTTCATGTAAAAACTAGCTCAAGAAATAAAAATAATAATGAAATTTAATATTTTTTAAAATTAATAAAGATTACTTATTTAATTACTTTATTAATCGGAGAAAAATTTAGTAGAATATGATCAATCAAAAGTTTTTCCACATTGGCTCACCTAAAAAATTATTTATATTCAAATAAATGGAACACAAAATACTTAAATAAGCTGAATAATAGCTATAGATAAAGATCAAATTTTTTGACAGCCCTGAACTGGGCATCAATTCCACAAGTAAATATTTCATACACGGAATGGTCCGAATGAACCAAACAGGTCGGATAAATAGAAAAGAAGGAGAAAGTTCCTCAACCAGGGTTCAATAACAAAAAGAAAAGGTCAAAGCTGAATACATAACGACTACGAATGCTGAAACGGCTATAAATGACTTCAAAACAGAAGGCCTCCCAATGCAAGAATGGAGAATAGGGGAGATGAGCTTTATACAAACAAAAACCAAATTAAACCTGATTTCTTCACGGCCTTTATGTGATCAAGATTCTCTTCAGAAGAAACAACGTTGATTAAGTTACACCAGAATCCACACTTTATAACGATGTTTGTGAGGGATTCATGGATGAAGATCAAAATTAATTAACACTTGTGAAAGAAGGAAAAGCGATAATAGATATAAAGAAAGAAAAAGATCCTCAATGATATTTAGGATTCATATGAAATAGCAGAGATCCAAAAAAAACAAAAATTCTCATAAATTGAAATACAAAATCTCTCCCAAACTGCAGGAAGAGTAGGGGGAAAAAATAAAATATAAAAAGGGTAACTTTCCGGTTCCACAAATCCATAATTTACAGTAGTAAGAAAAAAATCACAGAACGCCTCGCATCTTTTCAAGGATCAAACCGTAGAAGAAACAAATAAAACCAAGAAGAGGGGATCATTCCGCATCTAAAAAAAAATGCAATTTTCTTAAAGCGATACTGTTGAAGTTTCTTCGTTGAATCAGGGACGAACTCACTTTAATGGGGGTTTATTACAGTGAAAAAGCCAACTCGCCCAACGAAATCCAATGAACATCAGGACATCTGAAATCTCCTAGTCGTCTCCTAATAAGATCAAGTTTCAGCAATCAACTCCTTTTCACCTCTGCAAAACAAAGAGAAAACCCGTCAGATCTCTCTCCATAACTTAAAAAGTACGAAAGAGGAAGAAGAAGTTCAATGAAGAAACAGCGGCAGAAGTTATCATCTCACTCACCAATTTTGTATAAATCTGGACTTACTTCAGTTAACAATGATCCGGGGAAAAGAGCCTGAAAACAGTTACAGAAGAAAAAGAAAAATTAGTTCCGATATACTCCGATGAGGCGCACAGATTTCGTAGAATAGAAACACATATAAATTCAAAATACAGAACAGATAATCATCTGCATCCGATTTTCTTACATCGAGCTGCCTCTGCAGATACCTAGCCCTCTTCTTCGGCCTCCGCAGGGGCTTCGTACCCTTCATCACAACAAAATCCTCCTCGATCTCTACCTTCGAAAGGGGAATCGAGAATTTACGCCTTTCCGCCTTCTCAAACCCCTTCGATCTCGATCGAAGCATCCTTACCGGGTTAATAATCTTTTCTTGATTGAGAGGAGAAGAAATAAGCGAGGGAGATGGCGATCTAGGAGATGAAGGATTCGAGTTCTGTCCGATCTCCCCCGGAGCATTGCAGGGAGGTCTCCTGGTTCTCAAATTCCACGGTCTCAACGAAACAGCTGCAGCCGGCGTAGATTCCTCATCCTCCTCGCCATGAATCCTTCGCTTCTGTCCTCGAATCCGTAAAGGCTTCCTCAACGGCGATGGCGCCGACTGTCGAGTTTCGTCAAGCGAAGGCGATAAGGAGCGCCGCATCGCTGGCTCGATCACCTCGGCTGTCGACCCGCTGGATAAATTGACGCAGCGTAAAAGCCTCTGGTTCCGCCAGCCGAGGCTCGGTAAGGAGAAGTTATGAAGGCGGGAGTTCGAGCCTCCACTCTTCGAAGTCGACGGCGAAGTGCGATTCTCCGCCATCGCCGATGGTTCCCTCCGAATCCTCGATTCAGCTTCGGCCGCGATCACCATCTCCGGCAACCAATTTCTCCTCCGCTATGCAAGAAGAAGTGGAGAGAGGGGTGGGGAGGGGGGGAAGAGGGAGATTTTGTGTTTATTTCGCTCCAGAAGGGCTTAAGTTATCTTAAACCAGAGCGGAGGTTTCGTTAAGATGGCGAGGCATGGACGGAGATCCGAGTTACGCATAGAAATATTATGCGCTTTGACTCATAAAACTGATTGTTTTAATTCCTGCCGTCAGATCTAAATGATCGTTGGCTGATCCAAAAACTTAAGGAACTTGACGGGCGCTTGTCACCAGACTATTGGAGGGCAATTTTTTTCAAAATATCATATTAATTTTTCTAATAATTAAATTAATTTCAGCATTTACATAAATAACACTTACTTCTTATATATTTATATATCTAACTTCTAAATATTTATCTTTATGTAAATAGCACTCACGTTTTCTATATTCCATCAGCATATCATTATTACTGATTTATATATATATATATATATCTATATATATGTCGCATTCCTTGTCGAGTTGGTAGACAGGGTCGCTGTAATTCCCCTCTGATAAGAGTTCGATCCTTATCGTGGTGAGTGGGGGGTCGAATTATGACATATGGCGTGAGCTCTCATTATGGGGCCGGATTGCGCATGAGAAATTGATATTTGTGCCTCTGCCAAATATCGTTTTCCTTCTTATATA